AACAACGTGAAGTGAATGACGTTAAGTGAATAACGGGAAGTGAACAACGTGAAGTGAATGACGTTAAGTGAATAACGTGAAGTGAATGACGTTAAGTGAATAACGTACCGTGAATAACTGGAAGTGAACAACGTGAAGTGAATAACGGTGAAGTGAATAACGGGAAGTGAATAACGTGAAGTGAATGACGTTAAGTGAATAACGTACCGTGAATAACTGGAAGTGAACAACGTGAAGTGAATGACGTGAACTGAATAACGTTAAGAGAATTCTAGTGAATGCGACCCAGGTTATAACATTAACACTGGCGCTCGCCGTGTGTGAATCCGCGGTACACTCATACCACGCTAAGCCCGCCGCACACGCTGTGGAACTTGCTGCGCCATCGTCCACACGTGGACGATGGCCCAGCAGCAGCAGCCACTCCGCACACGCTGTTCAATCTTCCACACGTGGAAGAAAATATCAAGAGCGTATAAAGAAGGCGGACGATGTGGACGATGGCGCAGCAAGTTCCACAGCGTGTGCGGCGGGCTTAACGAATAGTTAGATACACAGTCGGCCGATTGAAAATCTGTGTCTGTGTTGCTATTGCGTAATCGTCATGTCCTTAACGACGAAGATAGAACGTCGTCAGAGATTTAATTTTCACGCTAGTGACCTAACTCGCTGTAGGTGGTGTGAATATCTTGAGGTCGCCGATTTAAAAAAATGTTTGCACGATTGTAATTATGGTCTACGAAATCGCCTTGCCATGTTTTGATCAGTTCGGGTTCTGTTGTAGTATTGTAAATTTTTATTGTATATATATTTAATAATGTAATAATGTACAATGAGTTATAATTGAGGCAATACGCGCTTGTTTCACATATAACAGCGCGTATCGTATTAAACTCACGTTCAATGTATTATATATATATGACATAATGTGTGTGTGTGTGTGTGTGTGTGTGTGTGTGTGTGTGTGTGTGTGTGTGTGTGCTCGCGTGTGTGTGTGTGCGTGCGTGTGCGCATATGCAGCGCTAAGGCGTGAAAGACACACATACAACTAGACAGAGGGCACTCACGGAGAGTGCATTATACTATTTATATGATTTTGACACATATGGGTTATATACAGCTTATGGGTTATATACAGCTAATATATATACAGCTACACTCATGCAAGAATGCATGCACGCATGCATGTACGAACACCCGCACACACTCACGCACACACGCACGCGCGCACACACACACACACGCGCGCACAGACACACACACGCACGCACACGCACGCACATACACGCACACGCACGCACAGACACACACGCACGCACCACACGCACGCACAGACACAGACGATGCTGTGATCTTCGTAAAGACATAAATCAGATTTAACACGGCGGGAATTTAAATGCGGGGATTTCCGGCGACAATAAATATCGGCGTGTGCTAGCTTCGCTTCTTTGTCCGGGAGCTAGAGCGAGCGAGCCGCAGATGTACAGACGTGACACAGACACTCAGCGATGAGTTCGTGCGTGCGTGCGTGCGTGCGTGCTTGTATATGCAGAGAGAGAGAGAGAGAGAAATAGAGAGAGAGAGAGAGAGAGAGAGAGAGGTAGTAGTAGTACGTACGTACGTACGTACGTA